TATTTTCAGAAACATTTTAAAATTCTGCCAGTTCTTAAAAGTGAACAAAAGTTGTTCTAAGAAATCTATTTTATGTCTTTGAAATTAGCCAAGGACTGTTAGATATTGTCTTTTTTCCATAAAGATAATATATTTTTTTAGGGTATTAGAATTCAATCAAAGGAATAAAGATTTGAATTGATTTGAATTTATGCTCCCAAGCTTCTCCTTTTTCGGTACAATATGTGGGGTGGAGATTCAAATTCACGATCTTTTTGTCGAACATAGATGCCTTAACAATATATTCAAGTTGACAACCATAGTTGCGTTAAAACATATATGTTGACCAAAAAATCAGGGTTTGAAACACTCTCGTATATCTTTTACATCAAACCAAAAAAAAAATGAATTTATGATATGAGGTTACTAAGGTCCGTTTGATAATGTAACTGACGATGATACCCCAAGTATCTCTATAATGTATGATATTGTCTACTTTGGACATAATCTTCATGATTTTGTTTTTTTGTTTCACCCAAAAGACCTCATACCATCGATGGAGATAATTGTCTTCTCTCTTATATATAGTGGATCAATCTTTTCCCTATCAAATGTGATTTTGTTTGCATACTTTACAAACCCTAGAGATAAGGCATAATTTGTAATATTCTTATTTCTTGTTTTTTTATTTATTATTTTCAATTTTTTTAAAAATATAAGTGTTTGATAACTATTTATATTTCTCATTCTTAAGAAACGTTTCTTCAATTGTGTAGAAATTTTGGAAACAAAATCAAGTTTCGTTTTAGTTTCCAGTTTTCTCAAAATATAGATAAAAACATTATTTTATCATTTTTAACTGATAAAATGCATAATAAATGTCAAAAAGTAAATATGACATAAAATTTTTGAATATTTAATTTTCATTTAAAACTTTTACTTTTTAAATTTAGAATTTTAGAAAAAAAAAACAAGGAACTGTTACAAAACATGTTTATGTTTTTTCTCAATAAAAAAAAACAAAAAAACAAAAACAAAAAATGTTACCAAAAGAAATTATGTTTTTTCTAAAAAACGAGGAGACAAAAAACAGGAAACAGCCATGTAACCAAACAGACCCCAATGTTCCCATTTCTTATTTCTTACTTTTCATGAGTAACATAAGTATTTGATAACTATTATGTTTTTAATTTCTCATTAATGTTTCCAAAATTTTTCCAAATTTTCTATAAAATATTAAAACAACAAAATCAAGTTTATGACTTATTGATCTAGTTTCTTATTTTTTTTTGAAACATAAATAGAAGTGTTATTTTATCAATATTGACTTATAAAATGCATAATATATTTTGTAAATAATTATAACATAAACAATTTGAATATTTAATTTAAAAAATTAATGTTCATATAAAAATTTTCCTTTTTAATTTAAAAAACAAAAAATAATGGTTACCCATAAAAAAGAAAGAACAATAAAAAAAAATCCAATAAACTATGTCTTTTTTTATTATTATTAAAATAGAGGAAACGACTCACACAAACAGTCTAAACAAGCCCTAATATTTCATTCTAGAAATATTTTAAAAAAAAGTTAAACAAAAAAAAAAGTATATAAGTCTTTTTTTATTTTTAAGTATAAGTAGCTTTTATCCAACACGATACACAACAATTAATAATGACTTTTAGAGTATCAACCTAAGTTTAGCTCAATAGTAATTGACATTTGTCTCTAACCAAAGACATTATGAGTTTGAATCTCCACCTCCAACTTGTTGTACCAAAAAAAATTTATTTTTATAAATATGAATGCTGATTTATTTTTAAAATAATATATCAAGGTGAATCCCAATGTTAAAAAATTGCTTACTTTTGAAATATTAGTAGATAAACCAAATCTTATTATTCACTAATTCAAATACACAAGTTGTAAGAAACTTACCAAATTCCTACTTTATCCTAAAGGAATATCAATAATTACACTAAAAATTTGGTCTCCCAAAGGACCAACCAAAGAGCAAAANACCGGCAATGTAGGAGGCCTTCACATTCTCCCTCATCTCTCTTCAATGCTGGCTTATACAAATACACAAATCTTTTCTTTTCTTTTCTTTTCTTTCCCTCTCTTGTTTGTTTGGGAGGTGAGAAAATTTGCTTCAACAGAACAACTCCAAGTTATCAAAAGAGCAATACTCCTCCATATCTCCAATGGGGACATTTGACGCCGAATGAGGGACCGAAACGAACCCAAACTCCGAATCCCAAGCTGGATCGCCGATATAACACAATCCAAACGCATCCCTCGACTCAAACGTCGTCGGAGACAACACTCCCCCAAGCTCACTTTCCTCGAAAGGGCTATGATCTCCTCGAACTTCAGATCCAAACCATGGTGAAGGGACGCGGAAACGGAAGACACCACCGTCGACGTCGTCTGGGTTCTCGGATTTCACCCGAACAGCGTCCACGCCAAAGCCAGAGCATGAAGGGTCATGTTGCAATGGCATTTGTTCTTGTTTTGGTGGCATTGGGTGTTGAATTAATGGCTTTTGTTCTTGTGGTTTGGTTGTTACTGAATCAAGAACTCTGTTGCAAGTGTGCATTCCTTTGTAGGTTATGTCATAGATTGTTGGATCTTTGTCTGATTTTTGAACTTGTTTTGTTGCTAAACATCCTTGTGCATAGCGATGGGAGCATCTGAAATAGCCTCTGCAATTCCCAAACACGAGAAATTCAGTCCAAAAACGTTCGAGAGTGCGACTAAAGTTCTACATATGTCATTTTTCGACCTCGTCTCATCCCAAACAATCTCTCCGTTTTCAATGTCATGATCATCAAATTTCGACACTCACCAACAGAAAGTGTATAATTGAAAAATGAACTTCTCAAATCGTCAAACATTAAGGACCGAAACATATATCGACCTATCTTTCGTTTTTCAATCAATCGATCCTTTCCTGTTCCTGTTCTTCATCAAGCCTACTACCTTTTATAAACCGAATTGTAAATAACCCTAATGTTTTCATCGGATGGAACAAACACACCAATCCATGAAATTGAAACTTACCTCAAACCTAGAGTGACATTAATGATTGTTAAACCAAAACATATCTAGCAAATAGCAACTACTAGGAGGTTAATTAATAATCTTCTGTATAGATCGAATGTTCTAAGTTGAAATTTCTGCACTACATTAGGAGTCACTAAAAGCTGGTTCATACCTGGGGAATTTGGATCCAAGAATGTCTTTCTGGCCGTATTTTCTCCAGCTAAAGCCATCGCCGAGAGGAGCTTCAAGGCCGGCGCCTGAAGGTACCTTCACCTGCTCACTCCATTTTGATTTCCCCATTACCTTTCTGCAAAATCCCCAAACCAAACCAATCAAAAACCTCATCCAAACAGAAAATCGGAAAAAACCACAGAGAACTCGCAGA